CCACAATGTAGGCCCCAGAACAGGATATTAAATAGGAAACTATGTCATGATTCGAACATTAAATGGGAAACTATGTAATGATTCTAACGATTACTAACCAAACACTCGGGGAAATTCATTTAAACCTTGTAAGGTACATTTTCTTCATGTACATTTTAATCAGCAAAATGCAGATTCCATCAATTCTTAATAGTCAGTAGTGAGTGCTCTTGACATATGGCCTGTGAGCTTTACTGTAGTGTCTTTGGGGGTTTGTAATATTTAGAAATAATGAAACCATTGTAAAAATCTTGATTCTGGATTTGTGGTATAGTGGATAAAGACACTGCCTGAGATGCTAGCATCCCTTATGGGTGCTGGTTCAAGTCCAGGCTGCTCCACTTCTGACCTAGTTCCCTGGTAATATGCCTAGGAAAGCACTGAAAGATGGTCCAAGCCCTTGGGCTCTTGTATCCGTGTGGGAGACCCAGAAGAAGCTACTGGCTCCTGGATTTGGACTGGCCCAACTCTAGCCACTATATCCATTTCAGAAGTGAGCCAGTGAATGGAATACCTCTTTCGCTCTGTCTCTCTCTCCCTCTCTATAACTCTGCCTTTCAAATAAATACATAAATAAATATTTTTTTAAAAAAATCTTGATTCTAAAACATTTTAAATTTAGTTTTTTTTTTTTTAAATGTTCTTTCCCTCTCCCTTGCTCTATGCAGAATGAACATTACTTCTCGGTATTCTTTGATTCTAGGTAGTATAGTTGTCTACTGGCTTGATCATGCCCATCCAAATAAGGGAAGACCCCAATCCCTGTATAATACTCCAAGAGTCTTTCTGGAGGGATATGTTCCCAAGCTCAGAAAAAATTTCTTTTTTTCTTTTTTTTTAAGATTTACTTATTTTTTGGAAAGGCATAGTTACAGAGAAGGAGAGAGAGAGAGAGAGAGAGAGTGAGAGAAAGAGATCTTCCATTCACTGGTTCATTCCCCAAATGGCTGTAATGGCTGGAACAGGGCCAGGCCAAAGCCAGGAGCCAGGAGCTTCTTCTGGGTCCCATACATGGATGCAGGGGCTCAAGGACTTGGGACGTTTTCATCTGCTTTCCCAGGAACATTAGCAGGGAGCTGGATCTAAAGTGGAGCAGTTGGGACTTGAACTGGCACCCATATGGGATGGCAGCACTACAGATGACAGCTTAACCCACTGTGCCGGTCCTTCAAAAATGATTCCATCATCTGCAGTCTTCCTTGATATCCACCCTGTTATTTATCATTTCTTTCATATTCTGCTTCTGCACATCTTATGCCAGTAAAACATTTTGGAGAAGAAACATCAATGTTGCCAATGTCCAATCCATACCAGTGGTGTATCTGCATATCCTCCTAGAGCTAGCTGCCTCTGGCCCCCAGAGTGACACTGCCTTGTAACAGTTCCTTCCTTATCAACTCTGAGGACTAGACATTTGGACTGTCTTCCACTGCTTTCCCAGGCACATTAGCAGGGTGCTGGATCAGAAGTGGAGGAGCTGTGATTTGAATCAGTGTCTGTATGGGATGCCAGCACTACAGGCAGAATCTTAACGCACTATGCCACAGCACTAGCCCCATCCATGAACTTTTTGAAGAGCTCTCATATTGTCTGTATTGGCAACAAGCAGTCAAAAGAACCAGTTTTAGGACATGGCCATATGCGATATAAAAGATACTTTAGGAAAGGTGCCTTGGGGTTAACAACTCATTAAGACTGCAAATTTAAAAGGTGCTGAAACTTGAAAACAATTTGCCATTGCTGGTCAGTGGTGCAGATGGCTGAAGTCAGAGTTATAAGAGATAATTCTAGTTGAGACATGTCAGATAGATACATATTCACTAAGAAAGGAGTTACCTTCATATGACTTTTACACTTTCCATTATAGCTGTGCTGCATTTGTACAAAGATGCCATGTAAAATAATAGGGTATTTTCTAAAGGTATTCAATAAGAAACCATGGAATTAATCTAAATTCTATAAAGGAGAACTCTTTTGCATGTGAAATAAAATTTAAATTTTAATGCAGGCTTGTGTATTCATGTTATATTAATCCAAACAATGCTTGATCATAATGTGTTGGTGATCTTGTCCCACAAATCTGTTCTATCAAACAAAACACCAGATGCAATGCCTAGAATGGTGACTCGATAAAATGAAACTCATTGGATAGAAAATAAAATGGAATGCTCTAAATAAATGTCATTAGCAGCAGGATGATGGAAAAATTACTCTGATAATATCTCAGACCCTCACTCAGTTGATGTTTTTAAGATATATATTTGATGATGATAATAGAGAAAACACTTGAGAGAAAATTTGCTCCAGTGTCTAGAAGGCATTTTCTATTGACTTGGTTCACAGTGTTCTTGAGGTATCATTTACAAATACCAAGGGGAACACTAGTAATAAACAGCATGTGGTGTGCCCCAAGTGCAGGAAGAAGTACCAGTGGGCTTGGGAAGGAAAGAGTGGCAAAGGAAAACTGCTTTTCCAAATACTGACCTAGAAAGAGAATATCTATTTAATAGTATGATTTTCTGTCTGAAGTTTTGCCTTGCATGTTTTCATGGTCAAAGTATCATGATTTAATAAACAATTGTCCATTTTATGTGCTCCAAGAACATATGCTCAGAAGTCCAATGTAGTCTTACAACTAGTTCAAGTGAAAAAGTCATCAATTAACTCTGTGGAAGTTCTCCAACCAATTGAATTAACTAAATTGATTGACTAAGTGACTGAATTAGGTCAGGATTTTAGTCAAAATGGTAGACTTTTTACTGAGTGTGAACATGAAAACCTCCAGTTGGAAAAAGAGACTGAAATTAGGATAGCACTTCTTAGTGTCAGCAAACAGGAAGGCCATCTTAAGACAGTTGTATCCTCAAGTTACAGTGGCACTGTCTTTTCCCACAGTCTTTCAGTGGACTGCCCACAGACATGCTGCAGTGAGATTCTGAAAAAGCCTGTTGAAACCTGAATAAAATGAGGCCATTAGATTCTTCAGAGTTTGGATAAAAAATACTATGAGAATGTCCCAAACTGGCCATTTCCTCTTTATTCCGTGCACAGATTTTCCTTTTTCTAAAGGCATAGATTCAACAAGAGTGTCTCAAAAAGAAAAGACTGAAAGGGATACACAAGCTTATTATGCCTCTGTGGCCTGTTATATAGTTCCTGCTTACTCAGTAGCAAAGTACTATTGGAATGAGAACCATAGTGATTTGCCTTCTGCCCTGTTCTCCATGAATGGCCATGCATTTATTTAGAACTTACTTTTCTCCAAAACAAGCTTTTATTTCAATCACATTTGGTACTTCATATTCTTTAATAGCTGGTATCCAATAATGGTTTGATGAATTTACCTGTAATTTTAAAATAAATGAATGGGTTATAGCAGTTTTTTGTTGTTGTTGTTGTTGTTATTAGCTATTTAATAAGATTCTCCTACAAAATTCAGAAAACCAGTTTGTGAGGGTAAATTCCATCCGTTAGAGCAAAAACAGATCGCAGGTAGCCCTGGAGCTGAGGCGCAGCCTTGATTTTCGGCAATATTTGCGAATCCACAGCTTTCTGATCCACCTTGTGCTGCTCTGTTATCTCGTATTTCTCTTTCTCCGTGTCGAAGACCTCGTCCTCCTGGTGTCTGGGCTTCCACAGCTGCTGCTTCCTGAGATAAGCATCAGTGAGGTGCGTTGGGATTTCACACCGCTGATGTCAATTTTCGTGGAGGTGGTGATGACAAATTTTTGGTGTGTTCTACACAGAGGAACTGATTGAGGGAAAGAGGTCCAGTCACAAGCAGCAAACCACTGCTCAGCTGCTTCAGGAAAACCGCCCTCTTGCCCCTGTGGCGCCCTGTGAGGATGACGAGGATGGTCCTGGGGTGATGCTGGCCCGCAGCTTCCTCACTGACTGACGGGCTTTTTGCCGTGGCTCAGCAGCTTCCGAGGGACATCTTTGGTGGGACAGTATCGGGCATTTTGTGAAGCTTGACCACCCTGGTGCCACCATTCTTGTCACCACCAACTGGTTTCGTGACAGAAACAAGAACCTTCTCTTCTCTTCAATCCTGGATTTGGGAGCCACGTGCTTCCTCTTGTGCAGGGCTTTCCCGGAATACCTGGCAGTCTGGGAGTGTCTGCCAGTCCCTTCAGCAGGGCAGGGCTTCGGCTGCGGTGGGGCCTCCCCTTCTAGGGCCTCTCATCCTTGAGGTTCTTCTTTCTAGCTTTGCCGCTGGCATTACCTGCCTTCTTGGCTGGAGGATTCTTCTTCGTGTCTGGCTTTGGAGCTGGAGCTTTTTCACCTGCCACCTTGCAAGATGGCAAAGAGAACTAAGGGCCTGGCTTCCAGTCTATAAGCAATCACAGGAAAATTAAGCATAGTTTCTTATTTCTTCTCTATGTTACGAAGTTTACCAGACATTTCAAGCCTGACCCCAGATCCTAACTGCTCCAGGCCAAGTTGATCTTTCTCTTCTTTGAAACCTTTTAGTACTTGCATATCCTTGCCATTTGGTACTCAAATTGTATAATAATGATATTATTATTATTATTATTATTATAGCCATCACTGAACAGTCAGTGTGCGCTTGGCACCACCTGAAGCACAGTGTATGTTATTCATTTTTTTTTTTTTACATTTTATTTGTTTGAGAAGTAGAGTTACAGAGAGAGGGAGAGACAGAGAGAAAGATCTTCCATGTACTAGTTTACTCCCCAATGGCCACAACAGCCAGAGCTGGGCCCACCTGAAGCCAGGAGCCAGGAGGTTCTTCTGTGTGGGTGCAGGGACCAAGCACTTGGACCATCTTCTACTGCTTTCGCAGCCATAAGCGGAGAGCTGGATCAGAAGAGGAATAGCTGGAGCATGAAGCAGAGCCCATATGGGATGCTGCCCTAACACAGGTGGAGGCTTAGCCTACTAAGCCACAGCACCAGCCCCTCATTTCTTCTTCTTTTCCATTTTTTTTTAAAGATTTGTTTATTTATTTATTTGTAGGCAGAGTAGAGAGTTAGAGAGAGGGAGAGACAAAGAGAACACTTTTACATCTCCTGGATCACACCCCAGCTGGCTGCAAGGCCAGCACTGGCCTAGGCTGAAGCTGGAGCCAGGAGCTTCTTCTGGGTCTCCTATACGTGGATCATCTCCTAGTGCTTTTCCCAGGCTGTTAGCAGGAAGCTGGATCAGAAGTGGAGCTGCAGGGAGTCAAACTGGCAGCCATATGGAATGCCAGCACTATGAGCAGTGGCTTTACCCACTGCACCACAATGCTGGGCTGTGTTACCATTTCTAATTCTCATAACAACTAGTGAAGTAGATACAACTATCATTATATATCTGTACAATTTAGTATGAGAAAATCGAGGTTCCAGTAGGGTAAGCATCTTGCCCACCGTCACATAACTAGGAAAGAACAGAACAAAAATAGCTTACCTACCCTCTTAACACTTACCTACCCTCTTAACACTTACCTCCCCTCTTAGTACTTACCTCCCCTCTAAGTACTTACCTACCTTCTTAGTATTTACCTCCCCTCTTAGTACTTACCTACCTTCTTAGTACTTACCTAACCTCATAACACTTACCTACCCTCTTAGCACTTACTTATCCTCTTAGTACTTACCTACCTTCTTAGTACTTACCTACCCTCTTAGTACTTACCTACCTTCTTAGTACTTACCTTCCCTCTTAGCACTTACCTACCCTCTTAGCACTTACCTACCCTCTTAGTACTTACCTACCTTCTTAGTGCTTACCTACCCTCTTAGTACTTACCTACCTTCTTAGTACTTACCTACCTGCTTAGTACTTACCTACCTTCTTAGTACTTACCTACCTTCTTAGTACTTACCTACCTGCTTAGTACTTACCTACCTTCTTAGTACTTACCTTCCCTCTTAGCACTTACCTATCCTCTTAGTACTTACCTACCTTCTTAGTACTTACCTACCTTCTTAGTACTTACCTACCCTCTTAGCACTTACCTACCTTCTTAGTACTTACTACCCTCTTAGCTGTATTGCCCTTTTCTCGGGGACTAGCCTCTGATATTTTTTCATAAATGCCTGTCTTGTCTTCCTGATTAGATATTTAGTTTAATTCACAGTTTATCTGCACAGTGCACTTGACTGAACTATTCACACCATAGGACACAAGTGCATATTGGTTTATTAATTATGTATAATCTTTGCTACTATTCTATATTTTTTGCTCTTTTGATGGTTCCTAAAGTTCAGATTCTGAAAGAATAGTATGCTTGAGTTCAAGAGCTGAAGTATAGTGGTGGTGTTAGTTTTATGCTGGAGTAACTGTAATGACAAAATGATTCATGGTTTAATTGCTGAATTTTTGACATAATGTTTGTTTACATTAGATAGGAATAGCTTGAGTTAATGTATTTCAGTGTTGTCCCTAAAGGAATCTTCTAGTTTATCATCATGCTACTGGCCAAATGCAAATGCTTCTTTTCTTTTTTTTCCTAATTGTGCTATTTGTTTATATAGATGAGTCAAATCTAGCTGATTTGCTGACATGGTATAAATTTATACTTGTTGAAAGCACTGGTCTAACACAATAAAATAAGTCTTTCTTGAAATCTGTGTTTCTGTTATTGATTAGTAGCCAAAAATACTCAAACAGCATTTTAGAGGCAAATAGTATTGCCAATCAATTTAAAAGTCTACCGATTTCCACAATAACATTTGTGCTTTGTGAAATTGCTGGATTTTTTAATTTCTTTTTTCCATAGCTAGTGGAAAACTAAAGTAAAATTACTCTAAAGTTAAACTCATGAGGTGGGTGTGGATCATTGGAATAAGCTGCCACTTGGCACATGCATGTGCTATATCTGAGCACCAGGGATCAAGTCTCACCTTTGCTTCTGATCCAGCTTCCTGCTAAGGCATCCTGAGAGGCGATAGATGATAATTCAAGTACTTGAATCCCTGCTACCCACGAGGGAGACCTGGATGGCATTTCTGGCTCTTGGCTTTGGTCCGGCCCAGCCCTGGTTGTTGTGGACATTTGTAGGTATATGTTTGTGGCAGAGAGTGTGAAGCAGTTAATGAAGACCACACACTGTCTCTCCGTGCTCCTCCCTATGTTGCCTTGCCTTTCAGGAAAAAAAACAAACAAACAAACAAAAACAAAAAAAACCAAAAACACAACCACCACCACCAACAACCAAAATCTTTCTTCTTTCTTCTTCTTATTTTTTTTTAAAGATTTATTTATTTTAAAGGCAGAGTTATAGAGAGACAGAAAAAGATGGAGATGGAGAGGCAGAGACAGAGAGAGAAATATTCCATCTGCTGGTTCACTCCACAAATGGGCACAATGGCTAGAGCTGGGAAAATCCGAAGCCAGGGGCCAGATTTTTCTGGGTTTCCCTTGTGGCTGCAGGGACCCAAGCACTAGAGACATCTTCCTCTGCTTTCTGAGGCACATTAGCAGGGAGTTGAATTGGAAGCAGAGCAGATGGGACTCGAATTAGCACCCATGTGGGATGTGCCACATGCAGCAGGTTTACCTACTTTGTCACAATGCTGCCCCCACAAACCTTTGTTCTTTATAAAAAGTAAATGAATCCTAAAATGAAACTCATTACCTTGGATTCAAAACATAGTCTCTTTATTTTCTCCCTGTACTAACTGGGTTACTGTCCGTCCAAGCCAGCCACCTGGGAACCATCTTCAATATTTACCATCTTTTCTCTCTGGGTATATGGAGTCACCCATTTCTGCTCTTTCCACTCTCTGAGCGTCTCCTCTGTCCCCCATGCCACTGCTCCTGCTGAGATGTGTCATTACTCATCTGAGCTACTGCAGTGACCTCTCAGCTGACCTCACTCTGACCCCTCCATTCCATTGCCTCCATTCCATTTTCTATACTTGGTTAAACTCAAATATGTTACAGTGCTCTCATTTAAAATGTCACTCACATGGCCTAAGGGTGACAGTGACTTCATGGCAGAGCAGAAATAGGCATCTTTTATTTGACTTCTGCTTATTTGAATCACTTGCCATGCCTTCCGTTGTGGCCCCCACTGCTAGGTCCTCCATCCTCCCACATTACTTGACAGGTCTTTCTTTACCACTGCCTTTCTGTGGAATCCTCTCAGGTTTTTATCTATGCCATGCTCTCTAAAAGAATGTCCTTCCCTGCATCTGTCTTTACCCTTACAGACAACATCCACTAGAATCCAGTGCTGTTCTCCAAGTGCCATTCTACCTTCTGTCTACTTTTCTTAAGTCTTTTAATACATGCCATTATAATTATTTACCTACTATTTTATCTTCTCTACTAATCAGCATATTTCAAAGATAGTGGTCTGTATCTTATTGTTTCTCTTTTACCTAAGATAGACTCTGGTAAAAGAAAAAAAATTTCAGTCAACAATGAACACCTGGATAGGTTGATGTGTGAATGGATGTGTCTATTTCTTCTTAACATGCTAGTATTTTCCCTACAAGTCACTTTTTCTATAAAACAACTACATATTTTTACCACAAACATTCAAACAAAACTGCAAAACTTCCTAAAACAGCATAATAATCTCACATACCCAGCTAAGATTCCTATTCTTCTCAATGCAAACATTTCTTAAGGACAATCTTGAGTATTATGTTTCTATGTATACAATTCTATGTATTTTACATAGAATTAATGTTTCTATAGTATACAATTCTGTGTATTTTACATAGAATTGAGGTGCTAATTATGCTTTTATGTTCACTTTTGTCGCTCCCCGTCTTCGTGGAGGAACGACATAGAACCCTGCCTAGGCTTCATATCCGAGTCACGGCACCATTATGTCGCTCCCTGTCTTCGTGGAGGAGCAACACAGGACCCTGCGCTGTTCTTCTGTCTGCTCGGCCCTCCCCGGGTTGGCTGCTGGTCCTTCCACCTCCGTGGAAGGGCGGTTCCCCCTGCCACATTCCCCACTTCCGCGGGGGAGCGGCACACCACCGGCCGGCTCTCTTGGGGGCTGCACAGGTGTTCCCCTTAGATGTTCCCCCTAGATGTTCCTGGTGAATGCCGTCTCTCTCCTCCTTTATAGTCCTCCTCCGCCAATCCTAACTCAGCTGCCCACACGCCGAGTACGCTGCTCTCCTCCAATCAGGAGCAAGTCCTACAGTTTATTAGCTGAACTGGAGGCAGCTGTGTAGAAGCTGTTTACTTCTCTCCCAGCGCCATATTGTGGGAGAGCAGATGCATAGAATAAGTCCTAATTCCAGTAACTCAGTCCAGTCCGGGCTGCTCCCCACAGATCCCCCTTTCTTTTTATTTTTTGGCGTTGATACGCGCCTGTCTTCGGTGTCCCGCGGCACACACTCTGCTCTGCTTGCTAGAGTTGCCACAGGTTCTTACAAGTCCTATCAATCAGGCAAACCGAATCCGGGTCCTCTCTTCGCCCTGTTGTGAGGAGGTTTTTAGGCGCTGATGCGTGCCTGTGTTCGGTGCCCTGCAGCGCATGCTCTGCTCTGCCTGCAGGGGCTTACAAGCCCTAACAATCAGGCAAACCGAATCCAAGCCTTCTCATTGCCGTATTGTGGGGGAGACTTATTAGTGTTGGTTCGTGCCTATCTTCGGTGACCTGCAGCTCATACTCTGGTCGAGCTGCCTGCTGGTGCTTACCGCCTTAATCAGGCAGACCGAATCCAAGCCTTCTAATTGCGGTATTGTGGGGAGGCCTTACTGATGTTAATTTTTGCCTGTCTTCGGTGACCTGCGGCGCATAAGCTGCTAGCCGCCCGCAGGTGCTCATCGCCTCACTTAATCAGGCAGACTGAATCCAAGCTCTCATATTGCAGTGTTGTGGGGAGGCCTTATTGATGTTAATTCGTGCCTGTCTTCGGTGACCTGCGGCGCACAAGCTGCTAGCCGCCACAGGTGCTCACCGCCTCCCTAATCAGGCAGACCGAATCCAAGCTTTCTCATTGCCATGTTGAGGGGAGGCCTTTCTATTTCTCTATTTCTCTATCTCCGGGCATTCCTATTTCTCCCATTTTACTTCTGTCTGCCAACATTCCTATTTCTCTCATTCCACTTCCAAACTTCTGTTTCTCTTATCCCTGCGGCTTCCGCGGCGCTCGCCCCGAGGCTGCTTCTCGGCACCTCGCCCCGCGGCAGCTTCACGGCTCTTCGCGGCTTCCCGGCGCCTCGCCCCGCCGGCGGGCTCCCGGCTCTGCACGGCTCGGCTTCACGCGCACGCTCCGCGGTCTCCACGCACTTCGCGCCCGCACCACGGCCTCGCGCCAGCCCCGCATTCCCTATCTATTCACGCCCCGTGCTCTCTCTGCACGCGGCGGCTTCCGCGAATGTTTCCGCCACCACCGGCATTCAGTCCAAGTTCCCCGGACTAACCTGGCGAATTTCAACCTGGCGGCCCACGTCTCTGCCTCTGGTTCCAGATCTTCGCCTCTTGCTCCCCGGGGTGACTTGAAGAATTCCAAGGTGCCTTATGTTTCCGCCTTGGCCTGCACTCGCGGCTTCATCCTCCCTAACATTTTTCTCTACCCGGTATGTTTTCTTAAGTTTTCTTCCAACAATATTCCTCTCATTTCTCCTGGCTACTCCCCACAGTCCGTATCCGAGTCCAAGCCTCCTCCAGGTTTCACTTTCGCTTTCAATCTCCTAGCTTCCCCGCCATAGTCCACATCCGAGTCTATGAAAGCTTTCACTTTCACTTTCAATCCTAACTTCTTTCCCACAGTCCATATCCGAGTCTATGCCTAGGCTTTCAATAGCTTCTTCCGGCACCTTTTCCGTCCAGCTTTTCCCTAGGCTGTTTGCTAGTCTCTCTCTCCGGTATTTTCCCATTTCTTTCCTCCTAAGTTTCCTATCCGTCCTAGGTTTCCTATCCGAGTCACGGCACCATTATGTCGCTCCCCCTCTTCGTGGAGGAGCAACACAGGACCCTGCGCTGTTCTTTCGTCTGCTCGGCCCTCCCCGGGTTTGCTGCTGGTTCTTCCCGGGTTGGCTACTATCCCTTCCACATCCGTGGAAGGGCAGTTCCCCCTGGCCACATTCCCCACTTCCGCAGGGGAGCGGCACACCGCCGGCCGGCTTTCTCGGGGGGCTGCACAGG